AAATGCCAGACGAGCTTCATTTTTCAACAGTTTATTTGTGGTTTTTGTTTGCTCCAATCAGATGTAAAACAGGTATTGCCACAAGAATTGAAAGAAATTCAAATCATCCCTTACAGTCGATATATCTCTAAGCAAAATGTTATATTTACTGTATATTTTCTTTGTTTTCTGCTCAAAGACGCTAGTCTGGTTAAAGTCCAGCCACTTGTTCCACGTTTCGCCTCGTACAGAAGGTCTGGACTCTTGACTGTTGAGAAACGATTCATTCATAGAGGCGTGCAATCTGAGGTTTTAAATTTTACCCGTGATGCATGTAATGCGCATGTTCAACGCTATGGATCTTAATAGCATTCTGGGTAAATACAGTGAAAACAAACACGTCTGAATTGGTTCACTGTCTTTTAACAAAAAACAGAAGAGAAATCCTGCTGCTGCTGAAATCGGATGCCTCTCCATTGTTGTTTACATTTTGTGAAGAAGGAAGTTAGTGCTCAGTGTCTTCACAGGTTTTTGTGACGCTCCCTTGAGTGGGTCTGGGTGCGGCGCCACCACAAGGGGGCGGAATAGGGTTCTCAAAGGATTTGGTTCAGTGATCGCCTGGTAAAAATCAGCACCTTGTTGAGAGATAACTACTTCCTGCAGGTGTGGACTCTGTTGAGGTTTTCAATTTTACTCAGTTGTTAACATTTGCCTGTGCTACATGTAATGAAGCTTAATGGAAATGCCCTGCGCTGTAAACAGCCTCTGTGTAGAGAGACATGCTGAGCCGAACCAGGCGACTGTTAACGTTGAAGCGTGGCCAACACGGACTGAGCAGCTTCGTTCATTTCCTCCACTTTCCTGAAGCTATCAACAGACTACAATTAGAGGCAGCGGGAAAATGAACGTTAGCATTTTTGAACTTCTTCTGTTTGCTGATTGGCCCAGTTAAGATTCTGCCTGTAGAAATCCAGGTCAATGGGAGAAATTCCAAATGGATCACTAAAGAGAGATTTGAGTCAAGTGTAATAGTGTAGGAAGGCAATGGCCCGGCTACATGAGAATCAGTGGTTTGGCTAAAAGAGTGCTAACAAGGCTTATTGTTATGATGCTAATCTGGTGTAGCACTCTGGTCTGGAAGGTAAGGAGTGAAGGAAAGCAGTTGTCTCAACCAGAAAAATGAAGAACATTTTGTGGATAACAATGTCAGAATTAGAATTGTCACGTATTTATCCCAATGAACACATTTCAGTGCTTTTGTGTCGGCCATTAGTTTTTGGGCAATCGTTCACATTCACACTGCAAACTTGCGAATGATACATCTGACAAACCCGTTCCCGTGTTTCAGAGCAAGCGAGTGTCGCTGTGTGTGAGTGACGGCAAGCAAATGAATGCGTGCAGCCTGACTGGAGGGCCCTGGAGACAGAAAGGCAGATTAATTAAAAATGCTTCAGATACCCTCTCTCTGCTGCCGACCCTCCAGCCTCGGAACGGAGCTTCATGACAAAATCCCTCAGTAATATTCACTCAGATACACACATGCTCACATCATCATGTTCTTACCCAGCAAAACGCTCAGAGTGTATTCATGCATTACAAGCACGTAGAGGGCACACACACACACACGCACACACACACACACACACATATAACCCAGAAGGACACAGAACATATGGAAAAAATTAAGGCAGAGTTCAGACTTTTAAACACCTTGATTCAGCTGTTTTTTAAAACTTGTTTGGCACCTCCACAAAATAAATGTGGTGAATTTTAAATTTCTTTTGGGGTTGATCTTTTTTGATGCGAGCATAACACAAGCCTGGCTCTGGATTCTGTGCAGATGTGTGTGTCAGCCTGAATCGTTTCAGAGAAGCTGCGGCAAGAAATTACTAGCCTATGCTAATGCTAAATGATGTGCAGCACAGGGTTCAAATAATAGGGACATATTTGACAAATGTTTTTTTTTTTTCTTGATCTCTTTTTTTAATATCACCGAGCGTCATTTTGAAAAAAAATCTGCAATAAATTATGCAAAGAGATTTATTCAGAAAATATTATAATTTTACCCTTTCCTACTTATTTGACTGATAACGAAAAGGAAAATTCCTGTGACTGAATTCAGGATTTAGGAAAATGGCTGTTTTAATTTTGCAGTATAAATCTCTACTGTGTATTTATATTGTTTACAGTTGACATATGTTACATATTCCAAGATCATGTCCAGTCCACTATTAGATTTAATCAGTCTCTCTGCTCCTGATGTTTCATGGTCTGTTGGATACGGGAGAAGAGGCTGATTCTGGGTAGCATAGATTTGTTTTCTGCAGAATGGAGTAGCTACAAAGTCAATTTGATCTTCTAACTTGTCTAAACTTTTTGGATATGGGGACATTTCAGCCAGAAATCAGGAACGATCACATTTAAGCACCAGCTGTAGTGGAGTGCTGGTGTTTCAAAGTGATGTTGTCACTTAAAATCTCAGAATATTTCTCTGTTGTTTTTTTTTTGTTTAACTGTATTTTCATGAACAGTGTTACATATTTTGTGCCCAAAACCACCCAAAATGAAGAAAACAAACAAACAAAAAAAGAATAAAGAGTTTTTCATGGAGATTGCTGTTTCCAACACCCAATAATTAGCATGCTGGAGCCACAGATCACAGGTAAAACGTGACCAGATCTTCACCAGTTTCTGCTAAATGAGGCCCTCAGAGTTCAAACCTGGCAGAACCACAGGCCTGATTTTAAAACATGGAGCCAGCCTTGGTTCACTACAAGACACTTGTAACATACTTGGGTGGGGAAAAAAACCTTCAAGTGTGTGAGGAGAAGAAAAGCAAAGCATATTTAAGAAAGAAGGTAGCAGAGAAACACACAAGAACTAGGGTTTCTTTTGACAGTTTTGAAGGTGTCTTTACTTTAAGTGAAGGGGCTTAAACCCTGTGTGGCAGTACAGTCTGCAGCACTCTTCCTCCTGAAGCAGCACTGAGAGGGAAAAACACTTTGAGAGGCTTTGGTAGAAGCAGCTTCAGTGACAGTTCAGATATTGTGCTCAGCTCTCCAGGTGTGGAGCTGAGCTTGGATGTGGCTTTACCTTTAAAACAGACGCCAAACAAATCTGTCATTTCAAAAGTACAAGATGTCCAAAAACTAAATTTAATCAGTGAAGTCGCTGTAAATTGTGCTTTCAATTAACCCGAGGATTTAATTGGGGGGGAGGGGAGGGGATTTTGATTTGAAGAGACAGAGCAGAGGGACGAGAACAGAGGCGACGTTTTCAATCCATTTCTTCCATTGTAACAGCGCAAGACAAAATGTCCAAGCTTTGGTTGGAAAAACAGAATAAATAGACTCAGGAGAATTAGTTAATAACACTGAAACAAAAAAATGTGACACTTAGCTTGTTAAAAAACAGTTATTGTTTCTACAGCTGTTTGGTTGCATTGCACCTTCACATTAACCTTGCCGTTTTTTGGCACTTTTAAGACTATTTGTGTCTGTAAACGTTGATTTAAATATTCAGTTCATATCATATAGGCATTTGCTTGTTCATGTCTGTGTACAAAAAAGTGCGTGTGTGTGTCGTTTGAAAATGTACATGTGTGTGTTAATACATTTCATGTCCATAAAGTGTGTATCTAAGCTATTCAAACACGTACAGTATATTCATTGATTCTCTACATTAGAATGTGTGTGTGTGTGCGTGTGTGTGTGTGTAGGTTTGTGTTGGTCACAGTTGCCCACCGGTAGAAACTCCTCTGCATTGTGTTTGTGTTTCCTTCGCTCTCGGTTGTTCTCATTAGGTCGACGTGCGAGTCACAAAGGTCAGGCCAAGCAACAGATTAATCGACAAACTTCTGACCTCAACAGCAGACAGATCACTGTACACTGTGTGCATTGAAATCACAGTCCTGCTTCCTCTTCAGAGCAAATGAAAGGATCCAGGGTCTCCAGTCAGACAGAGTTAATGGTCAAAACTGGGTAGCTTTCAGTGAGACCTAAATGGTGTCTCTTTAAATGAATGCTTCATTTTCACAGTGATTACGTCAAAGCAAGCGTCACTGTGGAGCTCGCTTTTCTCTAGGGTTGTGCATTACGTAACACATGCTGCCTGATGGCAATGAGTATATGATACAAAATAGTGAAGAATTTTAAAATTCTTCAAATATCAAAATTTTACAAAAAATGCTGCTCTTTGCACACCACGTCCCCTAACTTATTCATTTGTTGGGATTTTTTTTATCTACATTTCTGGAAAAAAAAAAACTCACCATGTTGTTAATTTATTTATATAAGTCAGAGTTTCAAACTGAATATTTAGCTAGTAGCTTATTAGCTAAACATTTAGTTAGCAAGGTAAACATTTAGTTTGAAAAAACATTTATCTTCAAAATAACTATTTAGCTTACTAACTAAATATTAAGTTAGCAAGCTAAATAGATTTTAGTTTGCTAAAATCTACTTAGCTTGAAGCCAAATAGTTAGCTTGCTAACTAAATATTTCGCTTGGAGCTAAATAATTAACTTGCTAACTAAATATTTAGTTTAGAGTGAAATAATTAGCTTGCTAACTAAATATTTAACTTGAAGCTAAGTATTTACCCTGATAAATAACTAAATATTTAACTTGAAGCTAAGTATTTAGCCTGGTAACTAAATATTTAGCTTGTAGCTAAATAATTAGTTCACTAGCTAAATATTTAGTTTAGAGATAAAACTTACGGCTATGTTGCCAGCTAAGTGTTTTGCTTTACAGCTAAATATTTATTTAGTCTGTGATGTCAGTTCCTAGGTGGCCTTCTGATTACATAAAAACAAATATTATGCAAGGCTTAAAATATAGATACAAAAGAGTAAAAATAAATTGTTAATTTACCATTAGAAATACATTTAGTTAGAAAAAAACATGATTACCTTTGTTCGTTGTACTGATTTTGATCCTTGATGTAGTGATATTTGACAACGGATTCAGAGGGGGGCCTGTTAAGAGGTTTAGCTCGTTAGCTGGAAGCAGGACTGTTCAACCATTTTCAACTTTATCACATGATCTCCAAACTGCATCAAGCAGCTTTCTCTGAGATGTCTTGATTGTAAATAATAATAATAATAATAAATTATAATTATGTTCTTATTATTATACATTTTCACAACATAAATATAATATTTTGTCCAGTAAAATGCACAGAAGATAAACATTGTTATGGTATGGTCAAACGTGAAAAACCCTTAGCAAAATAATTTTTAACAGCAAAATTTCTGCCAAACTTTATCTACTGATATTTGCCACCAGTAAAAAGTGGCATGTTCTCTGCAGCAAAGGTTCTTGGGGTCCATTATGTGTTTATTAATGTTAAACACAGAAGTGGCCTATAGGGCAGTGGGGAGAGGAGCCTCTTAGTATTAACCAGTAAATATGAGGTTTTTTTATGTTTACAACATTAGAGTCCATGACTTCCACTGCAAAAATGTAAAGCACGGACTCAGAGATTTCATCAGAAAAGGCAGAAAAGACCTTGCAGCCATCCCCAGTAAGGCTGTGCAAGTTTTCAGGTTCTTTGATAGAGGTCCACATTAAGGGCAAGGACAACTCTACAGGGAGGTGATTTGGAGTGCTGCTCCCACAATTTTCAGATTATTGATTTGTTATGTTTGAAGAAACCTGAGCCTAAAAAAGATTGCAAAACTTAAAAAGAGCAAAAACCCAAACCGTGCCGCGACGAATCCCCAAGGCAGCTAGTAAAACAGTTTAAGTAGCAACTGAGAGGATTTGTTTCAGATTGGTAGAAGCTATATATTCGATTACCAAAACACCAGAACTGTTTCTATTAAAATGCCTTTTGATCACAGTGACAATAATGGTAATATCGATTAAAAATTTCATTCAAGACAATTGTTTAAATGGTTCTCTGAATTCAAACACCCGATCTGTTCTTTGTCAATGTACCGTTGGGTTTCACAGCTGTGAGCGGAGAGGATTTGACTAATTCCCCAAGAGACCAGCACAAGTCAAACAGTTTCTGCTGCTTCCTCTCCATGTTTACCTCTGGAGCCCCGACACTGACAGTAAATCCTTTAGATTTAGACTCGAGAGAGAAATTACACATTGGTAATCTGACTGGTACGACAGCTAACACACTGGTCAGTTTGGACTTCTGGGTTCTGGTCCTTTGGGGTTGAAGGCAAATACCCTTTGTTCTCAGAGAGTGGCATAAAAAGAAAACTTTGATATCCTGAAATATATTGAAGGGAACACAGGAGCATGGCTTGATCACCACAGGTAGACGTCAAATTAAGTTGCTTACTATTCCTTAATAGGGCCTATGAACAAAGCTGGATGCATATCATTTCTGTCAAGAAGTTCATACGACCTTTAATGGATAGTGGACCTGTTGTTAGCAACTGATTGAATTCAGTGGCCTGAACTGTTGAGTAACTCGGATAATGTTATGTTACATCTGACAAAAAACTCTTTAAGTGAATATGCAGCTCAATTCTCCCCAGTCTTTCAAATGCAGTCATTATTTTAAAAAGGTTCCCACACTGGATAATCTCAGACTAACCGATTGGTCATCCCTTGGACCTAAGGTAGCGAAAGCTCCCAGCAGAAAGTGAAGATGAGGCAAAACGAGTACATTTTGCTCTCTCAAAAGAAAAATGGAGACTGAGACTTTGAGCTCAAGGGAGTTTGCTGTATGCATTTATTGTTGTTCCTTTTACTCAGATTAAGTCGTATTGATCTGATGCTACAGTGATGATAAGGCTGTGATATTCTCTTTGTGGATGCTACCAGCTCTGTTGGGTCGGAACACAACGGAAGTTTAAAAAGCACAGAAACACTTGAAAAACAAGCAATACAAGACAACAACTCATCATTTCTTGGAGTTAGAAATGGTGAGTCTTGCAGTTTTTGGAAGAACATTCTGCTTAAAAAGAGAAGAAAAATAAAACATATAAAACATATATATACTTTACACATGATTATTTTTCTTTCTTCCAACAAATTAATTCTATATCTGCCAGCCTTTTGAATGACAGCAAACAAACAACAACAAAAAAAAAACAATGTTTTTGAACAGATTTAACTTGGCCAAAAAGTGAATCTCATAATCAACCTAATTTTTTTTCTTGGTCAAACTCTTACACTGACCAGACAAATCATTTCTATAACTTTCATAAAAAGCTCTTTGGGTTAATTTGGTACAAATGTAATCAGTGGATATCCTGTACTGACATGATACTCAACAATTCTGAGAAAAAAGAAAACTAAGATAAAAACAAATATCCAGGAGGTTAAAAAATAGACACTAATTGTCTCCTTGGTAGTTGGCAAGCCTTGCTCCGTTTTCCCTCAACCAGCTATAACAGCATCACATTAAATAATAATAATTAAAAAAACATAAAAACACACACGCACGCACACACACACACACACACACACACACAGGAAGATAGGCAAGTGTAATTAAAATCCTTTAAATTTCACCTCCTAAGGGCACTTTGGTCCATAGCAAGCTACCAGTTTTTGTTTTACCAGAACAGAGAACTGTCAAGCACAGGGAGATGTCAGCTTTATCGAGGCAGAGGCAAAAAAATAAAAAATAAATACCATGTGGATCTTCAGCTCTTTTTCCAGTGTCCACTGTGCATTGGAGAGAGCGTTATGATGGAATGCAGCCGCAGCTAGAAAAGCGCTGAACCTTGCCTCTCCTCTTTAGCACAGGGCTGTTCACAGGAAACCTCTAACCTGCTCTCAGTCTGCTTCTGTTCCAAAATGTGATTACTTGATTCTTTACTACACGAGCTTGCACCTGCACTTCCAGCCCACCCCTCAAGTAATTTCGGCATGACTCAGCCTATTGAAATGTAAATGCTCCAGCTCCAAAGTAGTGCCTGTAAATAGGCCAAAAAGGCCTGGAAGTTTTCACAGGGTTTGCTTCGCGACATCTAGATATGCCAAATGAGCAAAACTCTTACTCATTCACAAGTACACTCACAGACCTTCCCAGCTACTGTAGGTTGTTATCTAATCTGTCTATCACAAAACCTTTTGCTCTCATACAGAAGCCTGAGATAAAGAATGACTCAGCCCCTACTTCCCTCTTCAACTAAAATGGGATTTCTCACATTAAAACTCACAACCTGTATGTACACACACGACTGAATATGCGTAGTTGGGTGTTTTACATCAATAAGCATGCTCAACAAACACTGTCCCTGACCTTCTGTTACACTGGCTAATTGCTAGGGAGAACAATAAGCCAGATTAGTATCGCTTAATGTCTTCCCCAAAGACAGGTATTCTAATACAACAACAAATAAATCTTCAATTTAGTTTCTCATTAGTGCTCTAAATGATGTTTTATAGAAACCCAGGTGGAAGCAGTGCCGTGGAATTAATGTCCTTTGAATGGTTGTTTGATAGAAATTGAAAAAAAAAAACAGATGGAGCTTAAAACAGAGCTTAAATTATAAATGCTGCTGTTTCTACTGAGATAGTTGAGCTACAGTGATGAGGTGTACCAGTGATGAGGTAGAAGACGCTTGTCACCAAGTTAACTTTGCTCATCAAAATGTACTTAGCATTTCTGCAAAGCCTGCAAGGACCAAAGTGCCCAGTACGAGGCCGTCCGGGGAACAGACCACTCAGGGTTGTGGTGACAAATGTCATCCTCTGGAACCATTTAAAATGTCAATGAACTGTCACCAAAAACATGTTCCAAACTCATCTTGAGATTAGTCAACTCTGGATCTGCCGGATGAATGACCCAAGTCACTCTGCAGAAAGATTCTCATCCTACCTCTGTATTAGTCCGCTGTTGGTGTTCAGCTTAAAATCTCCCACGTAGCATTTGACTCTTTCTCCCCCACCAAACTCACAGCTTTTGCTGGGCAGAAACGCCCTTCCAATAATCCAAAATATCATGAAGATCCTCATCCTTGGCAAACTGCACCTTCTTACGCAATGCGTGGCCCGCGGCTATGTAGGAGGCTTCCTCGCGTGGGTTTTTCTTGTACGGTCGAAATCTCTCCCAGATGCGTAGCGTGCTCTCTGATGAGTACTCCGGACTGGAGGAGTACCCGGAGTTGTAGTTATGGTGACGAGCAGGAGAGAGCTGGGAGTAGGTGGCTGTGGCCTCCCTTTTGGTGCGTCCCAGTGGCTTGAGGAATGAAGCTTTTTGGGCTGGTAAGGGAGATTCGTTGCCATCTTCGTAGTAGAGCGCAGGAAAGGAGTGTCGGTGCTCTGAGCTGTGGTAGTCTGGCTGAACCTCTAAGTGATGCTGCTGCTGTCCAGGCCCAACAACCCCACATCCACTTCCATTCCCATTATTACATCCCATTCCGCCTCCATTTAAACTCACCCCACCACCATTTAGGTTCCCCTTGCCATTTCCACAGCCTCCTACTCCACCATGTCCCCCGCTTCCACCCATCCCACCACAAACGGCAGGACTCCCCTTCTCTGTTGGATACTTGGGTGGATCACTCCGCTGCTCCGGTATATCCACACTGTACACCCTTGCGTTCTTGACGGATACTGCAGCAGGAGTACCACAACGATTCTTGACTGCAGTGGTGTCGGCACTCTGCTGCCTCTGAAGGGGCCGTACCGCATTAGCTGGGGGTGGGTCACGGTAAGGTGGGGAAAGGAACCCACCTCCGCTGATGCCAGGTCGCTCCGACAGGGGCATGACCAGGGGCACCGGGGCCATAGAAGGGGGATGAGGCTGTTGATGTAGCTGTGGGTGAGACTGAGGATGGGACTGAGGTTGTGGCTGAGGATGAGGCTGAGGGTGTGGCTGAGACTTTGGATGCACCTTTGGAGAAGAGGCCATGATCTGATCTCCAGAGGAGGCAGTGGAGAGAGGCAGGAGATTGCGGGAAAGAGGTGCCATGCAAGGTGGCTGGGAGGAGGACAGAGAGTTACCGTCGTCAGCTGTCGACACAATATTGGCAGAGGCGTCCAGCTTGAGGGCGTCGATGCAGTTGTTAATGATCTGGTTCACTTTGTCCACCTCCTTAGCAATGGTGGAAATCTCCGATGCAGAGCCACGGCCATCATCATCCGAGTCTTCCCCAGCCTCTGTCCCATTTTCAGCCACACCGCGCATATCAACAACTACTTCACCTCCTACTCCTCCAGCAACCAGTACTCCGTCTCTGCTCTCCCCAACCATTCCCGTTGTCCTCACATCCATGTAATTGCTCTTGCTGCCCATTGCCTCGGAGAAGGCAGAGGCCATTTTTTCTACCTGGGGCAAGGTGGAGAGGCGGGAAGAGCTTGTGTTTGCTGATCCATGGAGCATCCCGGTGCTAGAAGAGGCAGATGGTGGAAGCTTCCCTCCCGCTCCTCCTGAATGGTGGTGATGAGTCTGCTCCTGAAGACGCTGAATGGCCCCTGGGTCATTGGCCACTGCTGCAGCTGCCTCTGGACCGTACCTAAGCAAATATTGACATTAAAAAAGGCATTCTTTGTGATAAAACAGAATGACAGAAACTTTGTCTCACTTCTGATTCAAGCAGGGAGAAATCACGCATAGCAGTATGACATAAAATCTTAAGGATAATGGAGTAAAATTTCTTCTAAAGACGCCCATTACTTCAATCACAAATTAAACTGCTATAATATCTAAGAGTAGAAAAAAAGCAAAGCGCCTCTTAAGATTAAAATTAACTGTGTTTAAACAATCCTCCCACCTCATCTCCAGAATTGTTTTCTTTACACTTATAGCCTTCTCCTTCTCTTCTTGGATGCGTCGCCGCCTGAGGCAGTAGTAGACAAATCCGAGCACAATCACCATACCAAACAGACATCCCAGGATTGTCATAATGTAGTGGGTAGTTGTGGATGGATTAGAACGGAGGTCCTCCGGGCCCACAGCCCGCGTTGTGAAAGACAGGCAAGTATGGTTGTATCGTTGAGTTTTACTTCCGGACGCCACGCAGTAGGTGTAGTTGGTGTGTGGTTTCAGCTTATCTATGGGGATCTTCTCCTTCTTCTTTGTGAGGGACATAATTTCTGTTGCAAAGGTATCATTATACTGGGAGAGGATGTACATCTTAGTGTACGGTTTTGGAATCTGCACAAGAAGAGATGCCGTGTAGAGGGAGACCGACTCCAGCTTAATGGAAATCTGAGGAACGTAGTTGGGATCGGCGGTAGCTGTGGTTGGCTGAGGGTACAGACCTGGGTCAGAATTGTCTAAACCCATCCCTGAGCCATCTGGATCTGGCATCTGGGAGGTCATCCCTGGAATAATCACACCGTCCCGACAGGCAGACAGGAGAATATTCCGAGCATTCCTTCCCTGCCCAGGCGCTTGGCCCAGGAGGGGATACCCTGTCAGTTCTGGTGGAGTTTCACATTGGAGCCGGTCGTAAGTGTGGGTGACATTGTTGAACTCCTCTAGCCAAGTCAGAAAACTGTAGAGCTCGCACCCACAATGGAACGGGTTCGCTGCTAGTTCACAGACCATTAGCCTGTTGAGGGAAGTGAAGGTAGAGGGGTCAAGACGGGCCAATTTATTTGAAGATAGATCCAGGCTGCTGAGGTTGGGGCACTCCCAGAAGGCATTGGTGGCAATGATCTCAATGAGGTTGTGTTGTAAAAAGAGGCACTGCATTCGGCCCAGGCCTCTCAACATTCCTTCAGTCAGATTGGTCAGTTTGTTGTAGCCCAGTTGTAGAACCTGACAAGGAAAGACAGAGTAGGTACTTCAAACATTTTAGAAAAGTGCAACTAAAATAATTTCCATAGTATTTATTTAATTTTGTTAACAGCATCTACACATATTACATGTCTTAAAGAAATATGTGAAATAGTGCAATATGCTATATCACATAGTGCATGTGTGGTGTAGTTTATCACATTTAACATGTGAGTCAACTTGGGGAAAGGCACTTAACCCCAAGTATGAATGTGAGAATGTGGCTCTAGTGTAAAGCTTTTTGACTGACTGGAAAAGCGCTGAATAAGTTCAGTCCATATCCTACAAGTTTACCAGCTATTGTAACTATTGTAATGATGTATGAAGCTGGAGACTTTGTATCACCACAAACAGCTGAAGAGAAAACGTTGCAAAATGATGATATATGCACTGTAATATTTCTTTATTATTTAAAAATATTTTTAATAGTAACTTAAAGACTGTGTATCTTTTAAGATATGTCAATTCCAACAGAACAGCCTAACTCTACCTTCTTTTCCCAAGCATGTGAATGAACATTGGGTGATCACAAAAGAAGGTCAGTTGATAAACCAAGAGTGATATTGCATCTCATGTTCAGTGTTTGCTGCAGAACAAGCATACAAGTGTAACATTGATAATCAAAACCTTTGCTTCCTGCCTGTAGGTTTCTAGTTTCAACTGTTTGACAAGCGCCAAATATTCAAAAGTGAAATTAAAGTGACACAAAAAAACAGAGCTGTCTATGACTACCGACCTGAAGGTTTGCCTGTCCAGCGAAGGCCCCATCCTCAATGTAGCTGATCTCATTCTTGGTTAGATTGAGATCAGTTAGGTTTGTGAAGCGGTACATGGAGGTAAAGAGCACAGCCTTGAGTTTGTTCTCATTCAGCCTCAGGTCATGAACCTGAAGGGGACAAAAAGAAGAAGTTTTTAAGATATGTACTGCAGTCACAGATAAACATCCTCTACCAATAGTAAAGCAAAGTTCTTTTTGCAGATAACCAGGCATTTTATTTCAACATAAACACAAATATAGAAGTATTGCTGCTTGCATGCCCTTATTTCCCTCTTATATACTCAGTTGAGTTATTGTTATAATGAAAGTGAAAAGAAGTGGCATGTAGTTCCAATGAGGTGACCTATTGAAGCCGCCTTATACAAGGTTCAGCATTTTTGTTATGTGGAAAATGCTATCAGTTTTTGCCAGATGATGTATTCTGCTTCTTTAATCGCTGAATACATGAATAGAAAAAAATCAATGCGTAAGCCATAACTTTATTCTGCTGAATAGAAGCAGAACAGAGCAGAACTATTTTTGGACCAAAAGAGTAACGATCAAAAGTCAGCAAATGTCTTCAGCTATTACAGCTAGAGGCGACTGACCAGGCAGGTGCAGAGTCTGGGAGTAACAACAGACTCAGACCTGAACCTTCGGAGTCACATAGAGAGAGTTACAACGTCGGCCTTCTATCACCTGAAGAACATTCCAGAATTAAAGGACTAATGTCCCAGGTAGATCAAGGGAAACTCATCTGTCTTTAGTTGAACTGATAACTACAACAGTGTCTTCAAAATCGGACAACTCCAGAACGCTGCTGCTGCTGTTCTCACTAAAACCAGGAGCACATCACTCCAGGTCTAAAGTCACTGGATCCCCGTAGCTCAGAGAATAAGCTTTAAAATAATGTTGTTAGTTTAAACAACACTGAATGGCTAAGCACCAAAACACATTAAAGATATATTGTATCAACTTTCCAAACCTCTCAGGCCTTCTGATTCTAGTCTGCTCCACATCCCCAGAACCAGAACCAAACATGGAGAAGCAGCATTAAGTTTTCCTCTAATCTTGAACAAACTTCTAGAAAACTGCTGAAACACAGAGTTCCTCTGAATCACAGCTAAAAAAAACCCATTTGTTTAGAGTGGCTTTTGATGAGTAACAGCTGGAACATCACAAATTGTAATCTGTTTCTCATTGTCTCATCATTTTCCTCTATTTTGCCACTGCAATGTGATGTTTTTCTCCTTTGTTTTTCATTTCCTTTTTAATCATGTGAAGCACTTTGAATCGCCCTGTTGCTGAAATGTGCTAAGCCACTGCAGTTGCCTATTGCCTCACCTTGCCGGCCTTTGTAGAAAGTCATTCAAAAGCTTTTTTTTTTTTTTTTTACAATGATTTACTAATTTTGTGAATTAGTAACTTTGCAAATTTTCTTAACTTGACAGTTTATTATTTAACAGAAAAGTGGAATGTGAGACAATTGCACAATGAATAAATTTGCTGATCCTAATGTAACTAACCCTGCCAGCATCCCTAGGTGGGCCCCATATGGGGGAAAGGAGGGCTGACATATGGGTCCCATATGGGTTTGCCCATGTAGGGCCACAGCCCACATGGGCCCTACATGGGCCCTACATGGGTTTGCCCATTTAGGTAATCTTTAAAAAGCATAACAACTTTATAAAAGTGTCTATTTTTTGAACAGGAACATTTAGAGATGTTTCATCAGGATTTCAGAGGAAAATGTTAGAATAATCTGTTTGGGGGGGAGGTGTTCTACAGTTTATGGACATTTATTTAGGTCAAAATAATTTGGAATATAATGGAATATTCACAAGAAAAATGTGTTGAATGTGCTGAATAATTCTCTACATTCACTGACACAATCATGAATTTCTTGATATGAAGCCTCATGACACAGGGATCCTCAGCACAGTGGAAACACAAAGACTGAATCATTCAAAAGAAACAATTAAGATGCTGTAATGGACCAGTCAAAGTCTAGACCAGGGGCTTCTAAACCAAAGGTCACAATCGAATGTCTAGATAAGGTCAGATTATTATTACATTGGACTATAGCTAACGAGCAAAAGAAATGACCCTTCACATGAGCTTACAGGTTCTTGTATATTTATATGTATTAAAAATATAGAGCGTGTTCAATTTCATTTTCCTACCCTTCATCTAAAACACACCTTACTTTTCCATTCCTTTATAAAGGGCTCCTTTACACATCTGTATCTTGATTCACTGAGAATTTTTCATCTCACCAAATCTCAATTTATTCGACTTTTTAGTCTATTTTGTTACAGATCAGCATTTTTAGCTGCTAAGCCTTGTTAAATGGCACACTGGCTGCCTTTTTTTTTTTTAAGTGTAAAGTTATGAAGTTATCAAATGAAATCAACAGAATATTAAAACAACAAAGTGAGAAAAAGCAGCATTATCAGCAGCTTTCTGTGTGTCAGGGAGGAACGTTGTTCATTCTGGGTGGAAGAAGTTCACCGATAACCTGGAACTGACCGTGCTGTTGATGTGCTGGGGGATGGTCTCGTACGGAGGCTGGTTCTGACTGCAGATAGCCAGCCAAACGTAACCTTTGTCCCCCTCTATCAGCCAGCAGTCCCCTGTCACCGCAGCAGGCAGGTGCAGGAGCAGCAGTGCAGGAAGGAGGACGGGAAGGAGCAGGGAGGGAGACGGGGAGGACGAACGCTGTCTGGCGGCCATGGTTTGAATTCAGAGTGTTTGATGTCGCCTCCGTTGAAAGGAGTAGGGTGAAGAAAAAAAAACAGAAAAGAAAAGGAGCTGACGGGGAAGGGTGAGGAACGGGGGAACAGGGGGAGGAAAGGTAGAGAGCAGCAGTTCAAATTCAAAACTGGGAGCGGTTCAGGTCGGGGCGAGGAGCGCGGAGGAAGGTCGGAACGGAACGGGACGAGGTCTAGTTGACGATTAAAGCAGGAGTTGGATCATGGCAGTCAGTCCCGTTTCCATTTTAGGTGTTCCATGTCAGCGGGTTTGGCAGGACGTCACCCCAGCAGCAGCAGCTCATGGCGCTCGACGACGGCGGTTTTAATTGAATGGATCAGGCGGGAGTCTGTCTCCTAGAAAGGTTCTGGGTCTGCAAAAACAGAGAGAGACAAAAAACATGGAGAGAATCTATTATTGATCGTAACGTTTAGAAAATCATTAGCAGTTTGTTGAGATCTCGGCTGAACCACTTTGCGACTGTACAGCCGTAATGAATTCAGAAACTTTAGATGCATTTTTAATATTAATAAAGCTCAGAAGTGTTCTGACTTTTGCAATGTAATTAGACGTTAATTGCTCTGTAATTACTCGTTTGTTGATCTGATTAGTGAAGAAGTTTCAAATCTTCATTTACATTTGTTAGTATACGAAGCAGGAACAAACACTCTGATATTATAATCAGTTCTGTCATCATTTACAAGATTTGCTATTTTGAAATTCTCTCACTACTGGATAGATGAACAACATGAAACAATGTGAGGGGAATCAGTGAGACGGGTTAAGATGAAGACAGAAGGGCTGCTGTAATTTGCATGTTTGACAGGAGACCAGCTGACATTTAGCTATTTACCTTTCCTCAGGGATTAACCATGGATTAGCGTCTAATCCAGCGTAAAATATTATGCATCTCATCACGGCAGCATCCGGTCTTTTAATTTGTTACCAAAGTTTTGATTCCCTCCCGGGAAAAAAAAGTCTCAAGAAGACATGAATGAAAAGGACGTTATAGTAAATGTAAGAAAGAAAATTACTTTTCTTCGATTTTGGGAATTTTAAACTATTTTTAGATTTTTTTTTCTCTCTCACAGAATAAAAAAAAAAAAAAAAGATGGAAACCCAAAAGTACACAGTGTGTGATCTGGAAGCACATGATGATTATAGATCATATTTGGGCAGATCAAAAGAATCTTAACATCTGACTTCTTACGTGTCACAGCGAGCCAGTAGCTGTCATGCTAATTAAAATTTCATCAGATGTTGAAGCTACGCTGTAAAAAAAAAAAAAAAAACCCTGGCATCTCTGAAAAATAGAGAGAGTCCTCACCTTCAAGACGGAGGTTAGAATGTAGAAATTTCTCTGTTTCGTGCCTCTGGTACGGTCAGCGGATGGAAAAGTTAACTACGTCAGAATTTATTCGCTGCCCTTTAGTAAGTTAAATCTTTCTCGGAAAAGCCAAAATACATCTCAAGTGAAAGTGAAAACTTTTTTATTTTCACAAAATTGAAGATTTGCCATTTCCATTAACTGTTTCTAAGGTGATACAGATCAAAATTGCTTTTGTTTTCCTTCTGGTAACTATTACACCTCAATGTAGACCTGCACTGGGTCAGCGTCTTACAGACACTCTGCACAGTTTGTATTTCCACATTTACTTAGTGAGTTAAGCTTTTCATGACTTTTAGAGGAGTTAACTTACATCTGTTGAAAACAAGGATTTTAATCGAATTAAAGATGTTTCAAACCGTTTTGGTGGCAGTGCCAAATGATGGAGCGGTTCTGGTTCTGTAAGCTCGCTCTGATAAATTAGCCTCCGGTGTTCTTTCCTACAGCTGTGCTATACAGTAGCTAACATGTGGCCTCTAATAAAAACAGCCCTCTGTCCTGTGGCTTCAGCTCTCAGGCTGACTGATTTCACTATTTAGAAGCAGCACATGGAGAACAGTGTTGACAATAATTGTTAACTTGAAAGTTTAACATTTATTCTCTCTTTTTTTTTGTTTTTTTGTCTGAATTATGTTGACTCGGGTTGAACTCAAGCGAAAGCCGCACATCTCAGAACTGCTGAACCGTCTCCCCCACCTCCCAATTACGCACTACTTTGCACTGGTCTATTAAATAAAATCCCAATAAAACAACATGAAGCAGGTGGTTGCAAAGAGATAAAATGTGAAAACGTTTAAGGCGCAGGAATTATTATGATTTTTTTTTAATGGTTTTTATGAAAACTTCCAAATCAGATGAGATTTTAAAGAGCGTAAAAACAGGCACGGCGTGTTTCTACGCTCTCCTTTTGGGAGTTCATATTCACAGCACATCCAATGCAAACCGACTGCTGGCCTGACATGGTGTTCACTGCGCTCTGCAGACATGAAAGACGAGTCAGTCATGATTCACTTGAAAGCCAGCTGTTTACTGCGCAGTCCAGTCACAAATGCTTAGATCAGCATCGGGGTTTTTTTTTCCTCCTTATGATGCCGTAATAATCCTGACCGCGCCGCTCCCGTCTTATCCCATCATCTGGGTCAGCCTGCTGTCACTCACTGCAGTCGTCTGCTGCTGTATTTCATTTTATCTGACAGTCTGCCTCCTTATTCCTTCCCTTCTCCATCCGTCTCTTCCTCCTATCTGTATTGTTCTCAGCCCGCTTATCTCGCTCGCCTTTCAATTCGAAACACAAATGAATATGCTTCATCACCAAAAACACACCGCTGACGGCTTTGTGTGTTCTCCGGCATCGCCACCGCGCCGCTCTCATGTGATTCACGCCGCCAGTTCTATTTTTCTAAGGAATCCAAAAAAAAGAGAGACCGTCCTATTTCTTTTTTTCTTCTAATTCTTTTACCCTTTTGTATTGTCAATTTTCATAACTTAAAATTTAAGGAGATTATCCCACCTGACAAAGATAAAAAACAAACTAACAAAAAAACCAGTGATCATGTCAGGTCACTTAGCAAATGGAATCCACCGAACTATAACTATTGGCTGTTATCATTTGTGACAGATTAATGTGGGATTTCCCAGAAGGGGTCAGCTGACGGTGTGACGGTTGTCTGGGTTCGCTCCATGTGTTCCAGCCTCTTCCTGCTCTCTAAAAGCTCACATTTTACACTGATTATTGGTTCCAGAGAGGCTCTCTGGGTAAACGAGGACATGAGTGGGAGCCTTTGTGTGGTCTACAGTGGGAATCTAACTGGGTGAGGTTTTAAAATATAAAATACAAAGGAAACAAATTAAAACACACACAGTCTTCTTTAGTCACTCTCAATACATGCAATTTTTGGGCATTACGTTAATTGGAGCAGTCTGCTGTCGTCCCTTTTCATAAAAATGATTCCCGATTTATGGTTTTCCACAACATTTTCCCTGATATGTCTCGTGTTGTTTGCTCACTGATCCTGTCTAACAAACTGCTGAGACCTTCACAGAGCAGTTCTGTTCATACTGAAATGAGATTATACACAGGTGGACTCTGCTGACTAGCCAGGTGACTTGTGAAGGAAAATGGTTCAGTGCACTGGATTTTAAAAAATGGGGCTGAATACAAATGTATGTCTCACTACTCAGTTTCTATTTGTAACAGGGCAGCATTATGTATGTTCCAGGCATGTAGTGGCATTTTATAGCACAATCATGTAACTAGGTTACCTTCAGTTGTTATAAACATGTTGTATATATCAGCCTGCATTTAAGTACAAAGTCAGGACTTTGTAATTTGAGATCTCTGTTTTTTCAAAAACTCCTGCTTTTTCTGATACTCCGCCTTCAGGAAGTCATCACAACATGGCTCCTCAATTAACCCTTTAACAACATTTTTACCAGCTTTGCATTGAGCAGTGGCTCCTATAATGAGCTCAGGGGATGTTCAGTTCCACCAGGTGTTTGCTAATTGCTGCTGGCTAGTCTGAAGGAGCCGAAGGGGTAAGGGGGTTTCTGTGAGGCAGTTCCAAGGAGGAGCTGCACCTAGAAGGCGGGGCTAGGTCCTCCCAGGCGTTTTGCACAGCTGAATGGTTGCCATGGAGATTAAAAAAATTCTCAAACATGCATGACATAATTGATGTAACACAGATTGATTCTTTCGTTTCACATTCCCTCTTGAAATTTCAACTCAACCTCAAATAAGATTTTGTTTTGATTTACTCTCCAAATATTTTTTGTACAGAGATTTATTGTTTCTGTGTATTAATACATTATTAAGGTATTTTGTAGACACCCAAAGGTGAAACTTTAGGTGTTTTTGTAGCGTTTACCTAAAGGTAAGCAGTTTGACGATATATCAAAACATTAAAACATATATGTTAAAGTTTATATTAAATGTATTGAAGTGTGTTGTTATAACGCGAGAAAATATGAGAGAAAATAAAATCAATGGGTATCAATACATTTGCAAGGCAGTGCAAAAAATATTAGCTGAGAACTGTTCACTACTTTAATTCTGATTTACAGAAAACAGTAGAAAAAAGAAGAGACTTAATTAAGTCTCAAGGAAAAATTTAACATAAAAAATAAAACTCTAAAGCTCCAGTGGAATATCTGTGCTTTGAATATTAAGTGATTTTCTGGACTCCACATGAGAATCAGGGGAGAAAAGGGTCAAATTCTTGGCACTTGGAAGTTGAATGTCTATTTCACAGACAGTAACTTTGGTGGATTAGTTTACAAAAAAATAAGTAAAGATTAAAACTGCATATGGGACCAGAGAGGCCAAGTCGACATGGCATTTCAGAAAAAAAACATTTTTTGTTTTTTAAAGTATTACGAGAGACCCAACACACACAAGATTAGAGTAACATGGTAGCAGGCAGAACAGGAAACAGTCGAGAGTGGCACGCTGCTATTTTTCTTATTTTTTTATCAAAACTTGCTCAGTGAAGCAGTCAAGTGCTCACCCAGTGATTCAGAAATCAAACGCTCATCCAATCTTCAAGTCAGACAGGCATAACAGCCACTATACTTTTGTCAGCCGGCCAAATCAAAGCGTTCCGCCGATCCGACGGCAAATGAGTCAAATACCAAACCTCACATCAAGCCGACATGTCCAACCAACACTCAGCCGGCGATCCGGTCACTTATCCCTGCCAGGTGAAGTACGGAGAGAAATGCAGTGGAAGAAGCAAAACTCCTGTCTGCCCACGTTGTCTTTCTTTTTTTTTTTTCAGTTTTCATAAAGCTGGTGGACATTTAGTTCAAAACTGACATAATTTCTGCCTTTTTTGTTGTCGTTTTATTGTTGCTCCATTTGGTTTTCAACGTCTCTGTAGGTTTCTTACATTTTACAGTAACAGATATCCAGGCCTTATTCTTGTAACTCCCTCACTTAGTCTGCTGTTGTTGTTCTGATCTCTGCTCACTTTAGTTTTAGGGTGTGTGTG